GCTGAACCCATGACAATCTGAAACTAATGTTATTTGAAATAGCTGTACTTCTAAGCATAAAATCAGACTTACAAATTAATATAAAATATATGTATATTCTATTGAGTAAAAATTTTCATTAATACCTTCCACACATGTAAATTAGATATTTTACTGACAAACAAGCCACTAGCTGAACTTAGGTGGTAATCAAAAGATGTTTATGTATACTACATGGCAATTTTAAATTTTAAATTGCCATGTCTCCAGTGACAAGAGATTTCTGGAGCTTGGCTATATATCACAGAGAATAATTCAGTTTGCAGGGATATCATGAAATCTTACCATCCAGCCTGCTCAAAGTAAGGTCAACACTGAACTCAGACCAGGTCGCTGAGGACTTCCTACATTTTAGTCTACTTTTGATCTGTGGTGGTTTTTTACTCTTGAAGCTATTTCTCAGTATATCAGTTGGATGGTCACATCATACTGTCATATATTTACTTCCTTTAAATCTATAGACAAAGGGAACGGAACAGACTTGCCATATTTCATACAATGCAAATTATATTTTTTGTTATTTTTTATCAAATGCCCTACACTGACTTATTGAGCGTGTGTTTAAACATCTGTATACTTCAAACAGGAAGCCTTCTTGAGGAAATGGTCTCTTCCAACCTTTTACTCAAAATAAGGTCAATGCTGAACTCAGATCAGGTTGCCCAGAGCTTGTTCTATTTAAGTGTAGTTTCTGGTGGTTTTTTTTCTCTCTTTTGAAGCTACCTCTCTGTATATCAATATGGTGGTAGCAATTGCATACTGGTTTCGAAATCATGATTCTGTCATGAAACAATAAGTTACAGCACAATATACAGGCTCAGAGTTTGGAGCTTTTTTTCTTCTTTTTTTTTTTTAATTATTTTTCTTAAGCAGCTACTAATGAGGATAATAATATGCAAGAGTGTACTTGGATGGTTTTGCCATACAATATTTACTCAGCTTGTACAAAGATGGAACCAACACTCAACTACAAGCCACCAAAAACCAGCTGATGATGGTAGTATCCCCATTTGTTTTTATCCTGCTTCAAAAACATTTTGAAGAGAGATGATTTATTGTTCCCATATTTGGAAGATAAGACTCCCACCCTATCTTAACTTAGATTGATACAAATGTGTTATAGTTAGTTATTACAGTTAAACAGCATGATATACCTTAATGTATATTCCCTAAAAAAAATTGAAATTCAATTAATATTTTTTATAAGATAAAAACTTTTTGCTAAGTAAGTTTTAAACAATAAGTGAAAATGAGGAAGTGACAATGAGAAGCTAAAACTGATAAATCATAGAATAGATATGGTTGGAAAGGACCTTAAGATCATCTAGTTCCAAACCCCCCTACCATAGGCAGGGATACGTCACACTAAACCATGTCAATCATCTTGAAAATAAATCTAAGATAAATGCAAAGCTTCTATTTATTTCCCTTGTCCACCTTTCATAGCAACCATTTCACAAATCATTCCAGAGTACCATATGATGAAAGCAACAATGCCCCCCATCAGTTAAAAAATCACTGTTATACCCATCCAGGTTTTTTCCCTTTTCTGGAAGAACATTTATGCAAGTGAGAGTTATAATAATGGTTGGAATAAACTACCTCACGGGCAGGTGCTGGGCAAGCAACCACTGAACTGGAGTGCTGCCAGTACACCTCACTCTTGGCTGGATCTTTCCACAGCAGAAAGCTTAGCCATAATGTTTGAATTTCACTCATGAGCCACTTCCCCTTTTTCACCCCTTACTCCTTCCCTGCCAGTGTTTCCCACTGAATGCAATGGGGCTTTGTGCAGAGGTTATTCAGAATCCAATAGAATTCTTATTCGTATTCATTCAAACTTTGGATGAAACAGGAACAGTGTCAACTTTAAATCCCTAACAAGGGGTAGGTATAAAACTCTTCTAGTGTTGGAAACACTGGCTGCCTAATGAAAAGTCGTTCTTCCAAGGTATGGCATTATTCTTTTCTGATTTAACAGAGCTTTTCTTCCTTTCCACTCCACACGCTTACCATTTTATTTCTTAGCTTCTTTTCCGAACTCCATGCTACATCCTATGTTAGAAAGTCCAGGTGATTTTTTTTGTTTGTTTGTTTGTGGTTCTGCAACTCCCCCAGAAAGACTTATTTAGAAAACATTTTGGAGTGCTTATTACACAGATTGACTCGATTAACAGAATTTACAGTGCAGTTATAATCCTTCAGAGGAGCAGTTTCTGCACATTCTTTGCTTTTTAGTAAAGTCTTCCTGATAACATCAGCTTCAAAATCTTCCCCAAAACCATATCTATAGGGAAATATAGCTGGTTCAAATCCACAGCTCTGGCTTCCCAGGAAAGCTCTTCAAGAAAAGGCTTCCTGGTCCTTGGACTTCAGATTTGGCTCTTAATCAAACTGACTTTTCTTCATACACTTTAGTATTAAGGGCTTTGAGCCCCAAGGAACACTTTCCATTTAGACCAGTCTGGCTTGTATCCATAGCCACTGTTTATTTTATACCATTTATAGATTCTACCCACCTGATCAACAACTTATTTGCATAAACTCAGTTACTTCAAAGTCTTGATTCACAGCATGATTGCAATTGAGCCTCTAGATTTTTAACAGTTAAACTTTAATAAGATATTTTCCACCAAAATGCATTCCAACAGCTGGACCACAGATTAGGATGCTGCAAGACTACAGACAGCTCTATTACTCGGTATATAATAACATCTTTTTTGCAGAATTCTGCCCAGTGCTAAACCTCAAACTAGACTTTATCTGGGTGCAAAATTTAATAAACTGTACCATTTGATTGAACATAGCATTGCTGAATCCAAAGAACAGAAATACATAATGTTCACCCCAAGATAGCAATTAACAATTTCTCAGTTCAAACACATACACAAGGAATAAAACTTTAGAAATTCTAATATCACAGAAAGACTAGCATCTTTATTTACAAGTGGAAGGAGATATGTAAATGCAATAAAATTCCCACATGTGAAGAAATCATACTTACTCCATAAACATTTTTAAATAGTACCAAGTACGGTCAGTGTCGAGGATGTAAAGAGCTACTGTGTACTCTTTTGTATGTAATGACCACTGTTGTCTCTTTAAAATAAGTATAGAAAGTAGAAAGCTTCAATCCTTCAATGTATTTTCATGTTTCAACACATGAAAACAAAGAAGATAAGTCTATAGGATTCAAAACAATGTACAAAAAAAATCACGTGATAAGCTGTAAGAAGCTCTTGTTTCAAGATAAAACATATACACAGAAGTCTGTTTTCTATTGCTGCACTATAATTAAACCATTACGTTGAAATACAATGCTGTTAACACAGCTAGTATTAATGATCAGTAAAAAATAGGAACTGTCATTGCCTAATGCCTAACTTACTTCGAGTACTTTTTACCTACACAACAGTGATAGTTGTTCAAAAAATTGTGATAAAATTATTACACTATTTATTCTGACATAGCACATTTAAAATAACATTGCTTTTTAAACCTTTTAGGTATTTGAGTAATTACAGCACACTTAATCCCCTAGCCATTTCCCTGCCCCGACTTACTTCTCTTATATTCTCTGAATTAGTAGTCCAGTCAGGTAATTTGAAGTGGGTGTACATTTTCTCAACATTCAACAAGTACAGTTTTGCAATAGTTCTCATGCCAGAATTCTTCTTTGTAGGCAGTTAGTCAAAGCATTTGTCTCTGTAGCGTGAAGTATTTTGCATGAGTTTATAACTGACACAATAACCACACTGGAAGTAGATGAACAACCCTTACAGCTGCACAGCACTTTGGCAGATAAATAAGAGAGTAGTAAAAAGCAAGCTTACAGTGAAGATTTTACACTTTTTAAATACAAATAGGGGAAAAAAGCTATGACCTACCTGTGGAGATGAGGGACTAAAAGTCACATTGATAACAGATTCTGTGTGTCTCCCCAGTTTTTGTGAAAAAGTGCTTGAACACATTTCATATATGTAAGCCTAAAAAATAGTAAAAAAAAAAAATTATATTTTCATTTTAAAGAAATATATTTTGGAAGAATGAAGTTATAGTATACCAAGACTAAAGATTCAGCCTACAGAGAAGTTAGAAAAATTTCATAATAGCTAAACAGATTGAAAAAGTAACATCTTAGAATTGATTTTCATAATTCAGGATAATTTAGCAAATGCTTAAGTTAATTAAAAAAAAATACTCAGAAAGAGTAATGCAATCTTTTCTCCTTAAATAACAAACATTAGTTACATTCCAAGCAGGCAGGCTAAAAATACATTTTTAAAGGGTGTCCTTCAGAATTTAAACCCTTTTTTTTTAAAGTAGAAATATGTAGCATCTAAAACCAAGGTTTCAAAACCTTGGTTTCTAAATCAAAAAACTCTTAAGTTTGTTGCTACGTTAAATAAAACTTTTCAATCTCTACACAGGTCTTTGCAGTTTTTAATTAAACAGTGTAGAATTCACTAACAGGTCAATAATATTATAAGTGATATGGGTATCAAAAATGAGAAAAGCATACTCCCTGCTTTTTCTCCTCAAAGGAAAAAGAGAAAAGTACTTTCCAAGGAGTACATTAAATTTAGTAGCAAAATAATTATATTCTTTAATGAAAAAGTATGAATGCAAAACTGCATTAAGAAACCAATCCAAAATTCAGTGAAAGTCATAGACATACTGATACTATGAAAACAGTTGGATTGTAGTATTAAATTAGCATTATCCTACATAAATAAAACAGAAAATCTTTCAAAATAAATCCTGTAGTATAAGTCCTTTGCATAAGAAACACTTGCGAGAGTAACATACAGGCATATAGCATTGTTTTAGACTACGCCTTATCTAGTAAAAATAACAATTATTTGCAGGATACAGTCAGACAGTATGCATACACAAGGCATATCAAAAAAGACACATAACATGTATATGCAGACTTATTTTGTACATTATAAATAAAATGTGTCTCTAAAAATAATATTTTGTAAAACATTCAAAAAACAGTCAAATATAACGATCCAAACTTTTCAGTTGCTATAAAAAATTAAAATGTTCCGTTGTCTTTACTAAATCTCTGCAGTTAAGACTATGAACATGGAATTCAGAGCACAGCCTAACATAAATTAATCCACGCTGCATAGACACTATTATGACCATATATTACTCTGTGACACTTTTTTCGTCGATGCCACCCTAAAATTAGTTATCATTCAGAACCAAGGCAGCTGAGCTTCCCCTAGCTGATGGTGAACTACTACTAGATACGTGTCCCAAAAATTTGTGCACTCAACAGATAGTCTTCCAAATTTATTAAAAGATTCACGGACCAGTGCAGGTCCTGAAAAACACTTAATGCCTCCCTCAGAAAACAAATCTTATCAGTCAACTCCAAAGATTCTCCAGTCCAAGGCAGCACTGAAAATACACCAGATAGATAGTCCTCAGTGTCAAATATTCCATTCTTGACCATATTCACTGAGAGGTAAACCAACAGGCCAACTGTAAATCTACTTAATTGCATCCAGTTTATATACCTCACATATGCTGGGTTCAGTCCAAGATATGGAATTAAAACCATCTACTGGCATAAACGAAGTACTTACTTAAAAACAGACAGAAATGTAGGTATCCATTTTTAACCTCTGGATCTTATATAGCATTCCACAAAGATATTGCCATAATAACTGGGAAAGTAGCACAGTTCCCAGTAACATGTTAAAACCATTGCATCCTTCCTAAAAGGATACAGCAAATGCTTGGTAATTGGAAATTCTCCCTTAAAGAGTAAGACCCTCCTCCTTGCTTTTCAAACATCTCAGGAAACTGCTCATAATAATGAGCATTTGATTGCTAGTAATACAAAAGCAGAAATTTTTTTATGTTTGTTTTAAAGCGTATGGCCACACTACAGTGCTATGACTTACACCATTTGGGACATGATCACGGAACAGATAGGTAAGGGGAACCCCAACAAGATAAAAGTGATGTGATGCCACAAAGAAAAGCATTCTGCTGTGTCTATAGACATGAAATTATTTTCTCTGATGGAAAGTACAGAATTAAAAAGAATAGAACTGAATGAGGAAAATACTGGAGATAATTAAATCAAGTCTAGCATTCATAGATTTATGAAACTCCTATTGCAAACAATTATTTACCTTCACAAGCTAATTACTCTGCAATTGCAAGCTTTTTGAATGCCTGCATCGGTCCTTCTGCATATACTAAGACCAGTCTTTGGCAGAGAGGTATAGGCATCAGACAGCATTATGCTTTCTGTCACTCACCATCTTTTCTCTTTCTGGCCCCAAATTGCCTTACTTTTACTTTTGAAGCCTATTTTCCTCCCTCCTTTTCATGAAATAAGGCACAAAGAAGAGGGAAAGTCAAGGACAGTGAGAGTCAAAGCACAAAATGCTTTGAATCACAAATCTACAATGCCTTCCAGCAATTTCTGAGCTAAGAAGAAACATGGCTTCATGTTTTAACCAAGTGAACATACCACAAAGAGACATGGTTAGTGAAGCTGAAATTTTTCCATCCTAATCTAGTGGCTTATAGACCTTTGCCAAACATATCCAATAAAAATTAATTTTCCATTCCAGGTTCTCAGTTTAATTTGGGGAGAAGCACATTCAATTTTGGCTTAATCTCTATGTCCCCACTCCTCTCTGTAAAGTAGATGTGATAATGTTTCACTGTTGATTTTTTTTTCAAGACAAATCAAATGTTTGTGAAACCCAGGTATTCTAGTAATTTATGCTCTTCCACACAGTTCCTAATTCAACCATTTGGCTCATATCTTTCTTTCAAAAAATGCTATGAAGCAGTTGTGCAGCTTCAGTAGAATCTAGCAAGTGTGTATTCAGTTGTTGAAAAAGAGATGATACCTAATTACACTTCTCTAACTAAAAAGCATTGAAACTCTTACAGAAATTATTTCAAGCCCTGAGATAGAGGTCAGGCCGGGATGCAGCACTCCTTTGAATCACCACATTGTTTAACAAGATTCACTCAGTCAGAGAAAAATTATGACAAGGAAGTACAGAGAGAAGCCCACCTGTAGCTAACCACAGAAGCATTCATCAGCTAGACAAAACACACAGAACATGGCTGAGAACACAACTTTCCCATTGTACTTTATTCATACAATTCTATCCTAACAGAACTAGTGTTAGGCTTCTTTCTGATACTGAATTTCTAGCCCTATAAAACTTAAATATTTAGGGGGGGGTGGTTCAGCTTAACCAAAAAAAAGTGGCAGATTCCCTACCTACATCCCAGAATAGTTAATTATGTAGTTGCAGCTAACATCTCTTCCAATTATGGTGGCTTTAAGGAAAGTATAGCAAACATTTTAAACCAGAGAAATCTTGACATGTAACACAATAAAATGTGATTAGAAGAAAAACATCACCATTAAAAAGTATGTAAAATCAGCTTCTATTTAAGTAACTCTGGTCACAGATATTTAAGCTAGCCAGTGATAGTCTAAATTCTGAGAATAAAAGTTAACTTGGTGCAAGATTGAAAATAAACTTTTCAGTAAATTTATTTTTATCTTCAATAAGGGAAAAAAAAAAAGAAATTGTATTTTAACAGAAATTACATTCAGGTATTCATAAGAGGTGGAATAACTCCAGTATAAACATTCTCCTACTGTAGGCTGCCATCAGTGTAGTTCTACTACATTTTGAAGTCATTCAAATTGGTTTTCAATTCTATACTTACTAAATTTTTTTTTAGCATATTCTTCTTTACAAAAGAAAACATAAAGAACAGTAAGTGAATTATAAATGATACCATAACACTAGCCACAGAAGAAAAAAAATAAAGTTGAAAATAATAATTCAATGACAGAGGAAGAACAGATTTTCAGCAAACCAAATGTAATAAAAAAGAAAGCAAACCAGTCTAGGAAGTAGTCAGCAATCCCCAAAATGCATATGTGCACATAATCTGTTATAGACTGTAGCCAAAGTCAATCCCTTTTTTTTATATTAAGACCAATTTCTTGTAATAAAAATACTGCTTCAGTAGATATTGGTATTTCCTTTCCATTTCTGTCCAAGGGTCAGCCAAAAGGAAAAATCGTTTACCTGTATCAATAGCTTCCAAACAAGTTTCCTGCACCTATAACCACATACATACTTGTGTTTCTTTTCACTTCAAGTTTGAAGAAAATTTGAAGTAGTCAGTTTTCATTAACCCACAGTGTAAGAGTATATTTAGCACCTTACATATATAGACAAACTTGTGCTTTCTTCTTTAAATTTGTAGTAACAGACAAGGAAGAAGGGTGAAGGTCCCTCCTTAAGGGGAAGGATCTGTATCAAAATGGAAAACTACTTAATTCTACTGTACTGGTAGAGAGGCTGTGCTATATAAATTGACTCCTTATCTGCAGAGTTTCACTAGAAATTTTTTCCACTGTTTCTTATACTCTGTCTTCAAATGAAACTTGTCCCCATCTGTTCCCACTGCCCCCTAGTCCAGTCCATTGCTATATGCATTTGAGTTAAACTACTTGCACTCCTATTCCCTCTTAAGAAGGGAAAGAAATGGAAAGAAATCATAGAACCACAGAATCATAGAATGGTTCGGGTTGGAAAGGACCTTCAGATCATCTAGTTCTCACCCCCCTGACATGGGCAGGGATGCCTCTACCCCAGACCATGTTACCCAAGGCTCTGTCCAGCCTGGCCTTAAACACTGCCAAGGATGGAGCATTTATCACTTCTTTGGGCAACCTGTTCCAGTGCCTCACCACCCTCACTATAAAGAACTTCTTCCTTATATCTAACCTGAACTTCCCCTGTTTAGGTTTAAACCCATTACCCCTCGTCTTAAATCAATCAAAGAGAAACACTGAAAGCATAACAGAAAAATTCTCCTTTTTATCAGCTTTTTCACAGGGACCAGAAAAGCAACAGCACTTTCATAAAAAGACATTTGTAACTGCTGTGGCTTTAAATTGGAGCACATATTT